CTTGTTAAGCACAGCAGCAGAGGTGTTTGGGTTAAAAAAAAACACAGCTAAAAGCTTCATTCAAGTTTTACTTTAAAATCCTATATTTTGCTCTGCTTTAACAAAACCCAAACAAACCCAAAACATTCTAGACAGTGTCATGTTTTAAGGCCTATCAATACCAAAGACCTGTGAGCTAATGTCTGGATAAGCAGGAAATCCTAGTTAGAAGATTTCATTTGTAGGGCCATACAAGAGCCCAGAATTAAATCAGATGATTATGTTCAGATATTTGGGGTTATTGTCTCAATTATGTTTTATAATGGGACTCCATGATAGTCTGGTTTTTCTTCTTCTTTAGAATGTCTGGAAGGCAAAGTTATATATTCAGATAGAAATGAATGAATGACACTCCCAACATAATTTTCTTTTTCTAAAAGCAGCCACAGAGAGGGGGAAGTTTGGATCAGGGCTGTAGCAGAGGTAAAACCATAAAGGTGCCATATTGTGACTGTTTTTCCTTGCATGGACAGCAGCAGCTCAGGGTTGTGGTAGGGGGCACAGCACAGTGGGGTAGTTGGGAGAAATGGGTTCCTCTCTCCCTGCAGTCCTGATCCTAATAGGGGATGAGTGAGATATGTCTGTTTTTGGAAGAAGAAAATTACACTGAAAGATCCAATCAGAAATCTCCCACATGACATCTTGTTTGGTCCTGAGATTAAGAAACAAACGAGATTTACAGGAAATGCAAATGTGCTTGTGTATACAGGGGGAAAAACCCTATTGTTTTAAAGTGTGAACTGCTGAGCTAACATTTGAAACCTATAATAAAAGGGATGTGCAATCCCAGATTGGGAACAATGGTATCTCTTTTTGTTACATGGATTTCATTTCATCATGATCACCAGAGATTTAGTAGCTCTTTTGATTTACCATTAATAAAAGATGTAAGCATAGCCTTGCTCAGGCATTATTCTATGTGGCTTGACAAATTCAGGGTAGGGTGGGGTGGGGACAACACAGGGATGCATTCACCAGCCCCGTCCTAAATCTGTGTATGTGTCATTCCTGCTCGTTCTATCCCCAACCTTCCAACTTGGAGCAGGAAACACTAAAGGGGGTTTCTAAGCATGCTTGAATTTGCTTAGAAGCCTTCTTGCAGCTGGAACCCCTGATAACAAAAGAACCCTTAAGAAGTCTTCCTTTGTGGTATGGCATATTCTAATGCAGAAAATAGTGCTCTGTTAAGTGCCATATGGAATCCTCATTTTAATTCCATTTCCACCTGAGAAAGGATCAGCAATTTTGCGGCAGCATTAAAAGGCAGCAGTGTGGAAGCAGCCTTAGCTTTTGAGATTTTAATTGTGAAGCTCAAACTTTTCTCTGGTGCTACTGTGTACATAAAGGAATGGCACTCTTTCCCCAAAATTGACTCTGTTGCACCACCTACTGCCTCATTACTTCCTCTTTCAGAAACAAGGTACCTTATGTGACTCTTATTTTTCTAAACTCTTTGGAAATTGAAGTCCCCAGTCTCTTCCTATGTGATGTGAAGAATCTGATGGGCAAGCATAGCTACCCGAAAATATACGTAGGATAGGACTACTTGACTGTGTTTGGTAAGGATAGCTTAGAGGTACCTGAGAAGATCCTTCTGCAAGTACAACACACTCAACAAATTCAGCAATCAGACCCATGCATCTTTGAATGACCTCTAGTGCAAAACTGTGGCTGCAGTGTTGATACAGCAATAAACACTCACCTACAGCCATGCAGCGGGTTTCAGCAGCAGATGCTGGAGAGAAACAAGGGAAGAGAGCATGAACCTGAGACTCTAGGACTAACCACCAAGCTCCAGAAACGGATTAATGAAGCTTCATGGAATTTTTACAGACAACCCAGGACATGGTTTTCTTACTTGGCCCTATTTTATTTATTTCTTTAAAGTCATTTCTAAACTGCTTACCAGTTTAAAATATCTCAAAATACAACATACAAACAATAACAATGTCATAAAAAACAGTAAAACAGTATTATAAAAGCAGTAAATCAATAATCACATGGTGCGATCTTAGAGGGGAAAGTGGGCACTGTTCAACTGCAGCAGCTGAAACATGTTTTGGGTTGTGATGTTTTTCTTTTCATTTTTGCTTTGCCTTAAAAGTCTTGTTAAAAAGTATTGTTAAAATCATGTTGCCAGTAATATTCCCTTTATGCTTTGCAAGGTTGTTTTACTGACATTAATCCTTGCTAAATCTCTCCAGGCAACTATAGTGCCTCTGTTAAAAACTCATTTATCATTATAAACTCATTTATCATCGGTAGCTAATTTGCATCTTTTTGCATTGTGCATCTTTGCTGTCCAATTAGTTAGCTGTTCTTATTACTCACAGCTTATTTGTAGTGTGGTTTGTGCAACTGCCAGATGGATTACTGGGGGCTACTTCACATATTACAAGTCTCCTTTATGTGAGGCACTGCTGTGTACTAAATTACAGCTTTGAAACTATGTAAAGCTCCACAAATGCATTCTCACCTGGAAAATGTTAATATATGAAACAGTCCTTACAAGCTGAACATGGTTATACATAAGAAATAAATTTGCCCAAACAAACCCTATAATGTATGCCACATAGCACCATAATTTATGTTAGTCAATTTTCTTAACTAAATATATGAAAGATCCATAACTAGTGTTATTTACTCCCAAGTGATTATCATACAATAACATGTCCTTGCTATAACTGACTTCCTATCTGAACAACCTTTTTTTTTTTTGTATTATTCCGCATAAGCCAATTCTGTAAACCCAAAGAGCAAAGTGCTAAATTGTACCCATGCCTACTATCTAATGCACTACCACCAACACTTTTCTTCAAGACAAGACAAAACATAGCAGACAATAAAAGTTAGTTGTTGACATATTATGCTGCTGGAAGTAAGACATTCACCTCCCTCCTGGGTAAGAATAGTCTCCCTGCCCCCCAAACAACATACACAGATACACACACTTCTGAAAAAGAGGCTGAAGAAGTTAAACTCAACACCAGCATGCAAACCATGAATATAAGATGTTGTTTCTGCTTGGAAGGATAATCTCATTTCTGAGCTCTACTAAGGTGCACGCAGTGAAATAGATGATTATGGACTTGAATAAGTAAGGAGCAAAGGCACATTAATGGCTTTTCATGTTGGAAGTAATTTACAAAGATGCCGACATATCTAGAGGCTATCACTGCTGTATCAATCTACAAAGAAGGCACATTAATCTCTCCCCAAACTTCCACATTCATTTTCTGTTTTGTCCATAATATGAAGATGCATTTTCAAAAGGGATGTTCATTAATTTGGGAATGTGTACTGCAGTATTTTGTGTTTCTCTCTTGGAAGATTTGGATTAATTGAAATCAGTGAAATGTAGAAAAGTAAGTTAGAGAGTGTAACGGCAATTAGGTTCACCAGATCCCAAGAAGAAGCAAGCTAGAAAAGATAGTTTGATGTAGTTGTGGATAAGAGAAGGATGCTGTCTGACTGACTTCCCCAATGTGTGGTGTCCTCCAATTAAAAAGTCCATGTTGTGGGATAACACACTCACTGGCATTTTAATGGGGAGCACTGAGTGCATTTTTAGGGATCCTCACCTGAGCAACCCCATGCTAAAACTGAACAGAAAATGCACTAAATAGCGAATTGTGGCAAGTTGTTATATCACACTACTATGAGCTTCATGCTGGAGTGCTGAATAATATTCTCTCTTACATTTAGCCACAGGCAAGATGTGGGATTTTGCCACAGCAACTGGGGAATAATGAGGAGTGAAACGAAATGTCTCACATTTACTGCTTGTTTCCAGTTCCAGCATCCCACCCCCAAACCAGAGGAGTAGGTGGATGATAGAAAGCCTCAGAAAAATCTCATGAGACTAGGCAAGTAGACAAAGCAATGGCAGATGAGATTCTGTGTTGATGTATGCTAAGTGATGCACACTGGGGGAGGGAGAAAACAACCTCCATCACACTTGCACAATGTTGTGTCCTGAATTAACTACTCCAGCTGAAGAAAGAAGCAGATGGCTTCCTTATCAACAATTGTTCAACACAGGCACAACGTTGAATTTTGGGGTGATGCAATCCTGATTTGGTGGATCACTCTCATTTTGTTACAGTTTTCAGCTGAATTTTCCTGGTGCTCTCTCGTTTGGCAGAAGGATACAAAGAATGGTAATTGTGGAAGCAAACACAACTCCTTGGAATTTGGATTGTGATGTTCCTCTTGAGTTGGTACTTCAATGCTACTTAACATGTACCTGGGATTACCTGGGAGAGGTAATCAAGTGGGGGGTTTTCAGATGCTGCTGACACCTAGGTGTGCGCTTCAGTTAATAAATGCCAGAGAGCTGCTTTGTCTTTTCTGAGTCAATTTTTGGAAGTGGTGGTCAGATGGTCAGAATGAAATCTTAATTCAGACAAATCAGATGTGATACTTGTAGGGTCTTCCTCTGAATCTTTAGGGATAATGTTTACATATCAGTAATAATTTGTCCATTGGAACAGATGTAGGGTCTGAGAGCTTCCCTTGGCATGCCTTTGGATAACCAGGTAGTTACAGTAACTAGAACTTTCCGAGAGAAAAGTAGTATTAGGTCCCATCTGCACTATACATATAAAGCACTATTATACCACTTTTGCCCTGGAAAGGTCACTTCGGTGCTGCTAACACAGTGCTTTGACTTCACCCCTGGAGGTGCACTCCATTGTCTCTTGAGACGGGTGGATGTCAACAGCAATACCAATTTAACAGTCATGGTTTCCTTCAAAGAATCCTGGGAACTATAGTTTGTTAAGGGTGCTGAGAGTTGTCAGAGCCCTATTCCCCTCCTAGAGCTACAATTCCCAGAGTGGTTTAACAATCAATTTCTCTTTCTATGGAGCTCTGGGAATCACAGTTCTGTGAGAGGAAAGGGGTCTCCTAACAGCTCTCAGCACACTTGAACTATAGTTCCCAGGATTCTTAGGGAGGATGACTGTTTGAAGTGACTGTTTGAAGTTGTATGATACTGCTTTAAATGTATAGTGCAGATGAGGTAAAGTCTCTTGCAGCAAAAACAAAGTAACTTGTGGACTCTAACTCACTTTTTCATATGCAACTGATAAAGTAAGCTGTAGTCCATATTCCATAATCAATGTATTAGTTTTCAAAATGCCAGAAAACTCTGTTGTTTTAGGAGAACTTTGTAATTTCCGTTGACTCTGTTAATTGGACAAACTTTTTCCTTTGACTGGGGAAGTCTTGTTAAGTTGTATTCGTAACCTTCAGGCATGGTTGCTGTAATGCACTATATATGACGCTGCCCCTGGAAACATCTTGAAAGCTTTAGCTAGTGCAAAATGCAGTTACGTGGCTCCTAATAGATATTGGAAGATACAAATATATACAGCTCCTACTGCATATTTCACTAGCTACCATTCATTCATTCATTCATTCAAGGTGCTGGCAGTAACCTTTGAAGCCCTTCATGGATTTGGCCTTTCATATCTCCAAGACAATCTCTCTTTGTATTATCTACCCAGGCCAACTTCAGTCCTCTAATCAGTCCCTGCTTCGTGGACGTGTCCTGCATGAAATGAGAAATGTTGCAGTTAGAAGCAAAACCATCAGCTGCTCCAAGGCTGTGGGATTTCAACCTGGGAGCATCTCTTGCAGGTTTTTGGGAGAAATTATAAGGCAGACCTACTTGACTTGACTGTTCTTGACTGTTCATTTCCTTCTTTGTACTGCATTTCCACTTTTTAAATATTTACTATACCTTTTTGAGCTTCAAAAGAACAAATGGTACCAATGTCTTGCCTCGGTGATGAACTGGATGAGAGCCAGCAAACTGAAACTCAATCCAGATAAGACTGAGGCACTGTTAGTGGGTGGTTCCCTAGACCAAATGGGTGGGAGAACGCCTGCTCTTGATGGGGTTACACTTCCTCTGAAGGAGCAGGTTCGTAGCTTGGTTTTGACCTATAAAGCTTTAAATGGCTTAGGACCGCAATACCTCAAGGACCACCTCTTTCCATAAGACCACCTCTTTCCATACCTCTGGGTATGAGGCGATATATAATTCAGTAGTAGTAGTAGTAGCAGTAGTAGTAGTAGTAGTACATTCTCAACTTGAGTGCAGTGAATATCTTGTACAACAAATTATGTCAAACTAGGCATATTATAGATCTGTATTGTTTGATTGTTGAAATTACTGTTGTCTCCCCCCCCCAAAAAAAAATAACCGTAAAAAAACACCCTGGGTACTACTAGTGAATCTCAGCCTGCAGGCCAAATGCAGCCCTCCAGGCCAGTCTGTATGAGCCCTGGGACTCTCCCCATGGCATGCCCCTCTACCCCACCCTCCTCAAGAGTTTTTCCCTGGTAGGAATGTTTCCCTGAACTGTGATGCTTCTTGCTTAACTTGATTGAGAGATTTGCTGATGTTGGCATAGAAACCTCTGGCTTTTGCACAGCTGGAGTGCCCCACAATTGTCAGGTCTAGGAAGGTTATCCTGATGCCTCTCCAGCTGTTGCCACTTGGTGGAGGACCACCTATGATGTCGCCAAAGGACATGGTTGCTGAGGAGAAAGAAGCCCTCACCTTGCCTTCTATGACATCAGTGAGCTGCCCCTAGGTCTCAGGGTCTGGGATGTTCCTGCCCTGGCGACCCTAGTGAGCAGCTCTGGCTATCCCTTTTAATAAAAGGAGGGGAATGAGGCAAATAACTAGCATTGCCTTTTGTATCATTTTGTTGTGCCTAAATGTGCTGGTGCCCCTGACAAGAAGCAGTTTGTTCATCTGGCTCTCTGCTTGTAGCATGCTAGTCTGGATTATGGGATTGATTTTCAGAAGAGACCATTCTGGTGTTAACAGAATCCCGTTTTCACTCTGTGTTTTTAATAGCTGAGAGGTAGGCATACAATTCAGCAAGTTTTAGGATTCAGTGGTGTAGAAAATAAATTTGTGAAATGGCATAGAAACACTGAGAGAGGAAAATAGCACATCTTCTCTTGAGTAAGATGATTTTCCAGAATTACTGAGGTTTCTGATTCTATGAGACTATCAAAACTTACCAGGGGTTAAAGCTAAAAAGACATAACTAAGAGTAATTCATAAAATCCTTGGATATACAGTAAGCTGCATTTCCCCCCTATCCAGGCTGACAGCCAGATTTGAGTGTGCTTGTGGCAAAATGATAATTACACTCTCAGTCAGAAGATACAAATTGAAAGGAGGCATCCTGCCATCTTCTACTCAACTAACTTTTGCCATTTGCCAGCTTCATTTGCAATAACGTTCTAACAGCTCCAAAAAAGTCTCATTGAGTTCCATGGATATTAATTACTCCCAGGTAAGTGGGTATAGGATTGCAGCCTAAATTAGTTCTTGCTTTTGGTGGAGAACTCTCAAGGACAAGCCCACTTGAAACTGAATCGTCAGTGAAGATTAAAAAAAAAACCCACAATCAGTTACACACAAATCTGAAGAACATATAACGTATCTTGAGCTAAGAACCACCTGAAAGAGCACACCTCAAGCTTTACCTGTCTCTTTAAAATAAAATAAAAACTATCTTCATCTGAATCCACTAATGTAGAATTTGTATTTTATGGATTCCTGTGTATCATCACCACTCTGAACATCTTGAAAATCCTGCATGATCCAGGTGACTTACCCCTCTCTTCAAGTCTGAAACCTCCCTTTATGAACTGTAAAGGTAAAGGTAAAGGGACCCCTGACCATTAGGTCCAGTTGTGAATGACTCTGGGGTTGTGGCACTCATCTCGCTTTACTGGCCGAGGGAGCCGGTGTTTGTCCGCAGATCAGGGTATTTAGCTCATCTCCCTCAACTTGATGTTCTCCAGATAACTTTGGATTGCAATTCCCATTAGGTTTTTTTTTTTTTAAAAAAAGGGGTAGGTAAGGTAAAGGACCCCTGAACAGTTAAGTCCAGTCAAAGGTGACATGGGGTTGTGGTGCTCATTTCACATTCAGGCCAAGGGAACCGGTGTTTGTCCACAGACAGCTTTCCGGGTCATGTGGCCAGCATGACTAAATTGCTTCTGGCACAACTAACACCGTGACAGAAGCCAGAGCGCACAGAAACGCCATTTACCCTCCTGCCACAGTGGTATCTATTTATCTGCTTGCACTGGCATGCTTTCAAACTGCTAGGTTGGCCGGAGCTGGGACAGAGCAACAGGAGCTCACCCCGTCACAGGGATTTGAACCACCAACCTTCTGATTGGCAAGCCCAAGAGGCTCAGTGGTTTAGACCACAGTGCCACCCGCCCTCCCATTAGCCCCACCCAGTATCTAGTTGATGATGGCTGGTTTACATTACAAAAAAAAATAATCATGTATTTTCTCATATGCTACTTTCAGATTGCTTCCCTTCTTTAATCTTTTACCTTATAGCTTTTGGTTTCCAGAGGACAACCTGGGCTTGTTTTGTGCTTTGATACCCCAAAGATAATTATCCTGCACATCAATGCCTTGTTCAACCTACAGGAGAGATGAAAGTGGAGGTGAAAAGATCACAGGTTGGGCTTTGCCCTGCAGTGACTGGGCAGCGTTTGCACTTCTCTATCTGTCTCTCCAATATACTTCCTTTTTTTATCATCTGCTGCAGGTATTTGTTGTACTCTTGTATAATCGAAAGAGACAACTTGATAATATCAATGATTGCCAACGTGTCCTATTCACAAGAAAATGTAGAGTGGCAGGAAATATCACTACAACAGCAGATTCGTTGAAGTTGCATACAAACTGTGCTGCACTACTAACATGGAAATGGAACAAGTGCTTAGGAACCCAATACTCATCTCTTCTATTGTGCAGCTTGAAGTGCGGGGGCGGGAGGGGGGGCGGGAATCTGATGGTGGAGTTGGGTGACAATACTAGACATGGCATCCTACATGCCACAGGTGAGCATCAGGAATGGATTGCTGCGTTCTCAACCTTGTATTTTTAATTTGTTTTCATTTTTATGCAAAGAAAGAATGAAACATTTAAAATGTAGAATACAGTGGTACCTCGGGTTAAGTACTTAATTCGTTCTGGAGGTCCGTTCTTAACCTGAAACTGTTCTTAACCTGAAGCACCACTTTAGCTAATGGGGCCTCCTGCTGCTGCGCCGCTGGAGCACGATTTCTGTTCTCATCCTGAAGCAAAGTTCTTAACCCGAGGTAATATTTCTGGGTTAGCGGAGTCTGTAACCTGAAGCATATGTAACCTGAAGCATATGTCGCCCGAGGTACCACTATACAGAAATAATAAAACTGAGCCAACCACCCATGGCTCTTGAATACACTACAATAGCATATAAGTTTCTGTTTTAACCGTCTTGGTAACAGAGTTAATAACTACCATATTTTTCTGTCTATAAGATGCCCCCATGTATAAGACACCCCCTATTTTGGGGGACTCAGATTTAGGAAAATGGGGGGAGATGTATCGATGTATAAAACACCCCCTAATTTTTGACATTATTTTTTAGGGGGGAAACCTAGTCTTATACATGGAAAAATACAGTATTTTCCTTTCACTTCCAGACATCCTGGGGAGAAAACCATGCAGAGAACAAGGTTGTCGCTAACATTACAGGGATGGATCAAAACAGAAATTGTTTTAAGCAGATTGAATTTAATGATTTCCATATTTGCTAAACTGTCAAGGATGGGGTTTGTTCTAGTGAAGGATGCAGTTCACAAAATGCCATTCAAGTAAGTGTGATCTAGTTTATTTCTTATTAATAATTGTTAGTGTTTTACTTATCATTGTTATTAGTGCTATTAGTATGTATTTTCACAGGAAATCTTTCTTTTCATATGTATTATACACATAATTAAATGCACATGTGTATGTTTAAATTAATTACATGCATTTAGGAGAGATTTACATAAATCTTGCACCAAATATTGTGTGGAGTGGGGTTTGTACCTCGCTAACAGTCCTCATACAGGACGCAGGTGGCGCTGTGGGTTAAACCACAGAGCCTAGGGCTTGCTGATCAGAAGGTCGGCGGTTCGAATCCCCACGACGGGGTGAGCTCCCGTTGCTCGGTCCCTGCTCCTGCCAACCTAGCAGTTCGAAAGAACGTCCAAGTGCAAGTAGATAAATAGGAACCGCTCTGGTGGGAAGGTAAATGGCGTTTCCGTGCGCTGCTCTGGTTCGCCAGAAGTGGCTTAGTCATGCTGGCCACATGACCCGGAAGCTGTACGCCGGCTAACTCGGCCAATAATGCGAGATGAGCGCCACAACACCAGAGTCAGCCACGAATGGACCTAATGGTCACAGGTCCCTTTACCTTTATTCTCAGCAAAGCAACAGCTGCTCTTTTGTTAACCACTGTATCCTTACGTCTTCTCTTCCAAGAGCAATGAATTAAACATGGACACGCCATTTACAACAACCAATGCAAGCGAGAATGTTTGCGTGAATGGCTCTAACTAAGGGTGGCATGCTAAACTAGCCAGTCAAAGAACCAATTTTAATTAACTTCCAGCAGCTCATCCTAAATATACCATCCCTTTTCATTTTAAAAATAGCTATTGAGATGACTTTCACAAATGTAAATTCAGTGGCACAAAAGAAAGGGCAGGTGCCCTTGTCTAAATCTGAGCTGTGCTAATTTTGGATTACTAAAGGCGGTCTTGGTTAGGAGGATGCTGCTCTTGTGACCTGTGTAGTGGAAAAAAATCACTTATCAAAACCTTCATAAAAGCTGCACTGGCAACAGACATTCAGAATAATTGCTTGGCAATTAACATTTGGTGGTATTTATGTTCCATAGAGATATTTCTTGCGGTACTGGAAATCTGAATAACATTATTCTGTTCACATCATAATTTTCTCATAATCTCAGTGCCATCTTTTATAAGGGAGCTTTCATGTCTTGCATTTAAATAATAGATTTTTTGTCCCCAACTCTGACCTTTGCATTTATCCTTTGTTATCTTAAATTAGGTTCTTTCAAGCAGAGGTGTAACTTGTAATGACTCACTGTTTGCAGACCTACCACACAGGAAGACATTTATAACTCCTGCTTAGCAACAGTAAAGATGATATATTAAGATCATTTTGCTAATGCTCAAATGAACCTTATCCACAAATGAGATCGGTGCTTAAGTTCAGAGGCACACTAAGCTTTTGCACGACAGATTTAAGGTTTTCCTCCTCCAACCTTGAGAGATTTACAGGCTAAGATCATAGCAAGCTGCCACAAAAACCACTTGTTATGATGCAGCAACTTTTCATAGAATCATAGAATTGTAGAGTTGGATGGGACCATGGAGTCTTCTAATCCAAACCCCCCTGTATGAACTTAAAGCTAGAAATCTGGATGAACCATGGGCTGCCAATGCAGTGTCCATGGGCACACCCACAGATGCCTTCCCTGGTACCCACAACACCCTGTCCCTTCTGTCCCCACCCCACTCCGCAAATTTGACATGAAATGTCTTTTATTGTATTCCATTTATGAATCACTTCTCATGAGGCACCCCAAAGCAATAAACAATATAATGAACATGTATAAAACTGGGGGGGGGGTGGAGTTAAAGCAATTACACACACACACAAAGGTAAAAAGGTAAAGGGACCCCTGGACAGTTAAGTCCAGTTAAATGTGACTATGGGGTTGTGGCGCTCATCTTGCTTCAGGCCGAGGGAGCCAGTGTTTATCCACAGACAGCTTTCCAGGTCATGTGGCCAGCATAACTAAACCACTTCTGGTGCAATGGAACACTGTGACGGAAACCGGAGCACACGGAAATGCCGTTTACCTTCCCGCTGCAGCGATACCTATTTATCTACTTGTACTTTTGTGCTTTTGAACTGCTAGGTTGGCAGAAGCCGGGACAGAGCAATGGGAGCTCACCCCGTCGCCTTTCCGATCAGCAAGCCGAAGAGGCTCAGTGGTTTAGACCACAGCAATATACACACGAAGGGACGCGGGTGGCACTGTGGGTAAAACCTCAGCGCCTAGGGCTTGCCGATCGCATGGTCGGCGGTTCGAATCCCCGCGGCGGGGTGAGCTCCCGTCTTTCGGTCCCAGCTCCTGCCCACCTAGCAGTTCGAAAGCACCCCTAAGTGCAAGTAGATAAATAGGTACCGCTTTATAGCGGGAAGGTAAACGGCGTTTCCGTATGCTGCGCTGGTGCTGGCTCACCAGAGCAGCTTCGTCACACTGGCCACGTGACCTGGAAGTGTCTCCGGACAGCGCTGGCCCCCGGCCTCTTAAGTGAGATGGGCGCACAACCCTAGAGTTGGACACGACTGGCCCGTACGGGCAGGGGTACCTTTACTTTTACCAATACACACACACACACACACACACACACACACACACACACCAACTATAACCACTAGAAAGCTTTTCTCAAAGGGTTTGTGGTGCTAGAGGGGATACTGTGTGTATTTGGGTACATGTGTACACAACACCTTTTCTAATTTAAATTGGCTGCAAAAGGTTGGCAACCCCTGGGTTAGGCCCTTAGAAGTTGCTGGCTGAATGGAAATAAACAACAAATGTAACTTTCCCAAGTTATTCAGTTATTCTTCAAGGTTTATCTTAGGTAACCAAAACATCCAGACTGAAGAACCAAAACAGACATGGAAAGGCAAATGGATCAACTTGGATCAGCACACCTTGCTGCTGGAAGCACCTTACAGTGTGACTAGGGTGGAATCTACACACATATAAAAAACGTTCTGAAAATGCTTCTTTTTAAAGTGGTTTTAAAAATACATTGAATTTTCCATAAGGCTCATTATCGCCATCTAATGTCACATTGTATATTGCATGTAAGACTCACTTAACTATTCCTACAGTTAAAGCACATCAGCCTGACACATTTGAAAGAGGATTGTAATCTGTACATCCGATCTCAATTCAGTCTATAATTCCCTCATGGCTCCATCCCTTGCTGATCATCACCCACCTATCTTAAAGGCTGTGCTCCCTACAGTTCAGGAAGTTAACTTCATGTTGTTTAGAATTCACCGAAAACATATGAATGAAACGGAAATTTGAACACAAACATATTCAGCAGCATATAAGCCCTTCTGAATTTTTTGAGATTTAAATATCTATAAATGTTTGATTATTTCTGGATCTGAAGTAAATTCGATTTTTCTTACAAAAGACGTACTTTGAAAAAATACCAGAACCATAACATGACTGCTGAAGAGTAGAACTCATTAGACTGACAGTAAACATCAAGCTCTTGGTATACATCCTTTTCTTATGGCAAGCTGAGAAACAGGAGTGCAGTAGAGCAGGAGGCTGGCATTCTCTACCATGTAGAATATGCATTGCTAAGTTTCCTGTAATAACATGTATTATTCAATAACAACAAGTTTTACATTACAGAATTCAGATTTTTCACACAAATGGTAAGAAAATGTGAATAATGGATCTCAGTTGTCAACTTGCGTTTAGATACTAAAATAAGAGGTTTGCACAATAAATAAATGATAGCTATGCATGCACTATGCTTTTTATATATATATAAAGAGTAAATCTTGATCGGTAGTAGCATGTACCCTTGCAATAGCAATATTATACTCTAGCCAGCACTTATTCCCTTCGCAAAGGTGGGTTCTCAACTCGGCACACACCTCCTGGCTGACTGTATCTGGCATGGCTAGTTAATGATGCCCACTCTGTGGCTCAGGTCCTCCTCCACAGCAGATCACGTTAACTGACTAAGTGGAAGAGATAGGATTGGTCCACTCTGGTCCACACCAGATCCCTAAATTGGGACTTGGCTTCATATCAGCTAAGCATATTGGCATCCATTTAAGAGTTGATTGACTTGGGCCAAGCCCCATCTTGAATCGCCTAAGAAGCTGGCTCCTCGATTGGCCTTCATGTTCTACCCTGAGCGTGGCTTCTCCTGGGAGGAAATAAACATCACTCTCAACTTGTGGCACTAAGAAGGCATCATATTGATTATCAGTACATTCTGAAAGTGCTCTGTACCACCCACGCTCACATAAATCGATAGAACAGGACGTGATGCAATAGGACATATGTAAGTATGAATATCACAGCTCCACTGTGTAAAACTGTACTCATGTTATGCTCCTTTGACTTTCTTTGTGTACCTCGAGGACTGAATACTCACCCACGCCCCTAGTTAAGACTCTCTGTTTTATAGGGAGTACAGATGCTAAACTGATCCTGAGCTACAATCAGTGTGTTGCTCCTGGCCTTGTCTTTCTGGGATCCTGAACACCAATAATCCTTTCCTTATTCCTGAAAGGTAATAACTGATCATCAAGGGTGCACTGCTTGGATGTCATGCGTTAACTTACACCTGCCTCTCCTTCCAGCACATTAAGTGTAAGCATCCATACTCCAGCAAAGATTTGCCACCTTCTACACTGCTGCTGACTGGGGTGGTGGTTCTAACTCCTATACATACGGCATCCATCTCTAAGGCTCGTTTAGGCTCAACTGCATGGGCTGGCACCAACGTGGTAGGGAAGAATTGTGTCAATACAGTGGAAGAATTATGTGGATCGTAACTAGTATTCTTGCAATAGCAATGTTATTGCAGTTTTATTATCACGGTAGTTGAAACTTGCATCACAATGCTATGTTTACATATCCAAGGTCCACCCATTCCCAGAATATTCCTTGTGCATGGAGGCATAGTGGGTAGAAGTGTTAGAACGAGCGAAAAAAATGTGGTAGTAGTGATCCACAACATGCTCAAGGATTGAAAAGAAAGAAAAAACATTAAAGAAGGGGTAACACAACCTTACTTCACACAACCCCATTGAACATGCAAACAGCAACACAGTGAACATAAAATATATATACTCGTAACTTGTAAGCAAGATGATGTCTCCAAAAGAAGTCTAGGAACCATAGTTTGTTAAGGGTGCTAGGAACTGTAGCTCAATGAGGGGGGAAACTACAATTCCCATGATTCTTTGCGGGGGGTTTAAGTGATTTAAATGTGTGTTGGATTTAAATGTGTGGCATGGAAGTGTCATTGGCTCTTTAGGATGCAGTTAAAAACCTAACTGAAATTTATGAAATTCAGTGCTACATATAAAGCACTGCAATAGTCTAACTGGGACATTAGCAGATCATGGGTCTTTACTTATCCTTTTTTGAACTGGCCATCAAAAATATTAAACACAATTATTGCATTAAATTATAGCATGTTCCATGATGTTTCAGACAAAAGCTGAAACTACAAATACAAGTAAAATTGTCTTTTATTCCAAGTCAGGTCTCTTAGACCACATTTTTAATGTAAAAAAACCCAACCAATATAAGGTAACCATATACTGAAAATTTTGCATTGGACTTTTATTTCTTCAGACTTTCACCAAAATGGAATAGAATTTAAATATGAATTTATTCATCACACCAATAGACTTGGAATGACTTTACATAATTATATGATTTATAGTCCTCAATAACCCTATTCAATCCAAAGACTTTCTCTAACAAGGGTGGTGTGATTAATAGTAAATGGAATACTGTTAACAATAGTATTTGACTTTAGAATTTGAAGTTCAATATACTGATTATGTTTCAACAATATTAATGGACTTTTGTTAGGTCTCTGCAAATAGCAAACCCCTATTCTTGCAAGATAGAATGATAGACTTTCCAAATGTAAAGGTTAATGAAAATGTGAGCAAAATAAAGCCCACGAATCAAAAGAGCACAGAGTTCTTTTCAATGAACTCTCCTTTCTTTTGAATGGCTAATTGGTGGGTGCCATGGCTGACTAACTTGCATATTAAAAAAAAGGGGGGGGAGCAACTACCCTGGGAAGTCATCGTGCTAGGAAGAAAAAGGAGGAAGTACGGATGCCCAGTCTTTACACCTGGTCATTCATCTGCACAAGATGTGAAGATGAAAGACTACATTGTCTACTTTCTTCAAAAGCTGTCAACTTTTCAAAGAACAAATATCTGGTTCTTATAGCCAGGGCTCAGGTCATGAGACTCTTGTTGTCCAGAGGCCACCACCCTTTGCCACAGAAGCAATTTGCCTGGTGAAGCAGAGTCACAAAGAAGAAGAAAAAGAAGAAGAAGAAGAAGAAGAAGAAGAAGAAGAAGAGGAGGAGGAGGAGGAGGAGGAGGAGGAGGAGGAGGAGTTTGGATTTGATATCACTCCCCGAAGGAGTCTCAAAGCAGCTAACATTCTCCTTTCCCTTCCTCCCCCACAACAAACACTCTGTGAGGTGAGTGGGGCTGAGAGACTTCAAAGAAGTGTGACTAGCCCAAGGTCACCCAGCAGATGCATGTGGAGGAGCGGAGACGCGAACCCTGTTCCCCAGATTACGAGTCTATCACTCTTAACCACTACACCACACAAAGCTATCTTCCTGGCAGTGGGGTCGTTGCTGCTGCTACCAGGACAGTGAGGGGTGAGATGGGACGGCAGGGAGTCTGGTATATTGCAAGGCACCATGGCCTGTGTTGAGATCTGGGCAGTAATGGCTGCACTCTTCTCTCAGAGGCTCTGCTGCATCCATCAAAATGCCAGCTTTATCTGAATCCATATTTTTTAATTTCAGTTTTGATCTTGGTGAGAGTTCACAGTTCAACTAACGGGATGCTGGACTACATGGGCCACTTGCCACATCCAGAAGGATCATCTTATGTTCTTAATAATTTCAGTGTGTCCTATAAAAACTCATAAAAGTTGTAGCATTGCACTGTTACCTCCAGTGATTTGCTGAGAAGAAAACTATAATCTTTGCTTGGCTCTTCATCCTGAAGAATATTATGAACGGGAAGCTGTGTTTAGTTATAGCTCAACTTGAGCCACAAATCTAACGATAAGCTAGGCGGAAAGGAGCTACAGCTAATGATGACATCAATCTTCATAAAAGCCCCAAGAAGCTTTATTTAAGTCTTTGAAACTGCATTTAGCTGCCCTGATGTATATGTACTTTCTATTAAAGCAATGTAAGGAGACGATGACTCATACTACTCAGATCCCGCATCAGGATGACATCCATAATATAGTTGTGAAAATAAAATAATAGCTGCTTCATCCAGTGATAATATGTGGAAGAACTGTTTCATTCATGCAAACCCACAGTGGATTTGTCACAGTGCATCTCATGCAAAGATCGGTACTGGAAGCCACCATGGAACAGACAACCCAAATTCCCTGGTCCATATTTGGCCCCTCTAAACAGGACAGATGATTGTGCATCTCCTACCCATAATGGGCATCACATACCCTTACCAAAATGCTCTAATGCACAGCCCCGGAAGACACTCGTCTTTGGGGGCTGCAATCTCGTGCAAGAGCACTGTGCCAACTATGGTGATGGTAGGGTTTTTCAAATAGACCGTGGTGGTGGTTATCTGTGCTATTTTTCTAGAAAAAGAGGTGCTGGAACTCACAATGAATGCCTCCCTTGTTCTCTTTTAATGGCAATGATGCCCACCTGAAAGGTGCCAGAACTGAGTTCCGGATGGAAAAAAAAGCCCTGGTGATTATCAAATAGTATACAGGTTATAATGAAAAAAGTGATTCGCTGGAGGAAGAAGGAAGGTTTAAGAAGTCAATAAGAGTGTGTGTGTGTGTGTGTGTGTGTGTGTGTGTGTGTGTGTTGACAATGAAAAATCAGTCTTTTGTTCATCAGCCTGGAACTGATGCAAAGGTTTTTTTGTAATTACACTCTAAGATAAGCTAAGAAGTGCTGTAGGCATACCGATGGTTGTTCTTACAAAGCAGTGAGTGGCTTTATTGAAAAAACAACGGCATTACTCGATGGCCTCAGGTTGTTTTTACAGTTGCTGATGGCTTGCATTAATAATCATTGCCAATCTTATTTCCTTCTGAGACCTCCGTTTTTAATTATTGTTTTCATATAGAAAAGGATAAGAGAATGATCCTGGAAGCTGCAGAAATCTTCGCCTCTGGACTAGCTCAAACTCATTCCTGGTTATTCTTCGTCCACTGTTATTGTCTATGCATAATAGCATTTATATGTTGTAGAAAACCAAGAAAAGCAGCCAAATAAACAATCAATGCAACCCAATAGATGCATTGTTTATTTGGGAAACTATGGCTAGGTCTCCTTTTTCTTGATGTCATAGTGTCTCCAGATGAAGCGTGTCCTTTCAGCAAGTCATGAGGTAATTTTGTCAAGAATGGGAATGAAAAAGTGATAATCCTACCATCTGACATATTCATTCAGATGCCCCAACTACTTTAGGGTGGGAGAGCTCATCTTAAGTTAGCTCAGGCATCTGTATAAACACAGAGGTTAGCATGATCCAGCCAAAGTTGGCTGGGATTCGGTATCTTGTTTCCCATTAAAATCAATACGAATTAATATTTTAAGTTTGGCCCGCTTGTATCCTGTGTTTGTTATTGGGAGGAATCTTTGTAGTGCACATGGTACCCTCTTCCCAAATACTTGTTTTGAAAGACTCTGATCACTATGTACTCCTTTCCTGACTTTGGGCTGGAGTCAACTAAGTAGTTTTGGTAGCAGGATCCAGCCCAAGGGCTCCCACTAGCCCACCAGGGCTGCCCCACCATCACATGCCCCCTCAGTTTGCTCTGGGGAGTCAGGAGAACCCCTTGAACAGCACATGGGGGGTAGAAGGGAGGTCGTTCTATCAGACCAGATGGAATATTTGTTTTAGGGTGATGTTGAATTTCTCCCAGTAAATCTAGTGGTGCAGATACAACACTGTCAATTCTGAGGATAATTTCACACATTAGTTTTCCAATGACCTTTACCTTTGTTCCAGAAAAGCATGTATCTTAAATTTAAAATGGGGGATTTAAAATGGGGTGGAGGGTGGAAAATGTACCTTGGTTTTAACCTTTTGTAAGTATCGTTATATTTTGCTTAGGTCTTGTTAGATCTCTACATCCATTCTAACTTCTTGTGCTGAGATGGTTGTTTGTGGGAAAATCTAATTGAGGGCAATGCAGTTCACCTACAGAACCTCTGCATCAGCACCATGTCACGAATAATTTTATTATGACAGCATCACAAAGCAAACCCACAGGCCACGTTCTCCTTGCAACTTTACATTGCGTTCAGCCACACTGGCTAATCCCTACAAGCAAAAGACACGGGTGTGCTGTTGTGCAAAGCCCTGTTTGACACAGATGTAGCAGATCAGAGAACATGGTACGGGTTTTATGATGACAGGAACTAGCTAAAGTCCAATTCTGGACTTCTCGTTTGTGTCATCCAGAAGCTACTTGTAGAAGGTCTGAAGAGCTACAAAACATAGTACAAACTTGGTTAATGCAATCTGCTCTGCAGTGTGAAATTGCTTCAGATTGTGAAAACGCATTGATTTATATGTACTAGTCAGGAGCAGTAGCTCCCAAACTGGATTACAAGAACTCTTGGGGTGGTCTCAGATAGTCATGTTATTTTAAATTAAGGTAACTCTTGATATGCAAGTCTCTCTTTTTGGTGACCATGTAAGATTGTCTGAAAGGTGGGATATAAATAGAAGTTAGTAAGGATTATGTGTTTTAGAGCTACCAGTTTACAGAAATCCAAACATCCTTTGCTCCAGGGTCTATGGTGGTGGGGAGATTGTCTTCTGACAGCTCTGTTCTTGCTCACTGGCCCACCACTTGAGATGCCGGAATTGTTTTGTAAACACAGAGCATCCTCTTCTGCCTGCCAAATGTATGGCTGTGTGGAGGTGGCGACTGCAAGAAGAGTCCCAACCAGTGGCAGCTAGTGGAAAGACCCAAAACAGGTATTTCTAGGGTGGGCAGAGGGCAGGGCTGAATTGGCCCCTCTGCTATTGAATGACAGCAACAGATTCAATCTGGGTCCATTTGCTGCACCATCTTCAGGCCAGCATACCAATCTGCACCAGACGCTGTGCATGACCGGGCTGCAAATTTGGTGGCTCTGCTTCTCCGCACAGTCCTGGCAGACTGCAGGGAAGGATTACACTTAGTAGTTACACAATAAGCACATCTTCTTTGACATCTATTGAAATGAACACTGCGTAGCTTATTATTTAGAATGTATTTCATTCATTGTACTGCTACTTGTCTACTGCCTTGATCTGCGAAAGGGAGGGGTTTATAATTGGCAAAACATAGTTATTTTAAGCAAGCTGGGGGTGGACGACACCTCTGCATGTGCACCAACTATATGAGGGCATGGCTGCTATTGCATCAGGCCACAGGAAGACCAAAAGGAATTTTACTTTAAAGAGCTTGAGTCCCCTTTTTGAAGACTGGAAGTTCACAGTATGTTTTTCTGAAAGGCTCAGGTGCTTGCTGAGGTGCTCTTTGATCTCCTCCTTTCTCCAGGCACCATCTTTAAGTCTTTGGATTTTGAATTGCCTATTTCTCTTCCCAAGGCTAAAATCCCTGACCTGACAAGATGCTAAACTTTCTTCATATTCTCTTCTTTCCCCACATCCACACAGCGAGTGGTGTGATTTTTTTTTGTATGAAATACACAGCATGATAAAAAAAAGCACTTTGGTGCTGGAACAAGATGCTACCAATTTGGGGGGGGGGGGAGGTTGTAGCCCTGCTGTGTTGTGCAGTTTTGATTCTCCCCCTTCTTTGCTCCCTCCTGAGGAAGAGGACATTTTCAGTTGTACTTGGTAAGAAAGAGGCAATAGAATCTAATTCAGAAAATAACTCACGCCTGGCAGCTGTGGCAAAAAGAGCGAAGTTCGTTCAGCAAATCAGCTGAAACCTGCCAGGACAAGGATGGGGAAATGAACCTCAGGGGTGGTTAATGCCTCCTCTGAGAGGGGAAGTGGTGGTAAGGCCTCTTTTGAAAAAAATGAAATTTGGATCCTTTGAATTCCACTAATCATTTCCAGTGGTTCTGCCAACCCAGTTCCTGGGGATGCATGGGGAGGGGGGGAGACCCGTTGCCCAGCAGAAGTCATTCTGCTGACAAGACTTGTTTGTTGAATTCTTTATTATTATTATTATTTATTAAATCCATATACCACCCTTCATCTAAAGATCACTAGGTGGCACACAACATAAAAACACAAAATACATAATAAAACAAAACCAAACCAGCAGCACCCCCCATCCCCCCAAGTATCTGTTTTCAGTGAGATGTTTTAATGTAATGATTCTATTTTTATTTGTGGTTTTTTATTTATTTATTACATTTGCATACTGCCCTTCATCTGTAGATCTCAAGGTTGTTCGCAACATAAAAATACAATATGAAAACACAAAATACATAATAAAAACAAGAACAAAAAGACCCCCACAAACCAATAATCCCCCTCCCCCATCCGCTTCCTGCAGAGAAAACTGTGCACCCATTAAACAATTAGTTGAAATATGTAGATACGTAGTAACGAGAGAGAAGGCTTTTTCATTAGTGGCCCCTGTTTAAGATGTGCCCTTCCCAAGGAAGCTCACCGGGCACCTGACTTTAGTCCTTTTGGTGCACAATGAAATTTCTTTCTTTCTTTTTGGCAGGGTATTTTAACATGCTTAATGTCACAGCTTTGCTGGGTATATTGATTTTATTTTCAATTCCCGTTTATACCCCATTTTTCCTTCTAGAAGGAAACCCAAACAGCTAAGAATAACGCACCAACATATATCTGTGGAATCCTAGTTAAAAAACAACACACCTCTCAATAACATAACATTAATCTAACCGACATATTTGAGAATTGCTAGGGAAGGATAGTGAGTCCCAAACATTTAGAACTATAAAGTATGGGTTCACCATTTCCAGACATTCACACAACTGGCTCCCCACTGGATGTTCCTTTCCAACAGCTTGCCTCCTCCCTGCTGGTTATGAAACCCATATGTATGCTGCAGAGCAGCTACTGCAAAATACAGAGTGCAGTAGAGAAAAAACATAAAACCCTTTTTTCTGCTCCATTTGAGCAGAGAAAGCTGCTTATCTCCTTTGGAAAATAGGGACCTTGCTATGCATTTCCAAATTGTATCCTTTCCTTGCCAGTCGCTGTTCTCCCTGCCCATACCTTAATGTCTACGGTGTCAAACCACAGTTCTGAAGCTTTACAATCAATAATTAAATAGCTGAGATAATTATAAGGCCCGGTGGGAATTTATAGAGATAGATTGTTACTTTTGTGCAAATGATCTGCATTCTAACAGGTGTTTTATGATAACACATGTGGAGCTTTCAGAAAAACTAAAAAAAAAAAAACTAAAACAAAAATCCCCTCTGGGATTATAATGCAGCACACCCATTGGTTAGGAGAGGATGGCGTGTAATTATCTCGACTAGCAAGAGGTTTGTCTTAATTCTAGCTGCTAAAATAAAAATTGAAATGGAATCAGCAAAGCAGAGCCATGTGATTTTGATTTTGCCAGCAAATGAATCACTCTCGGAGCATTTCCCCAAGATATGGATACATTCCTGTACAGGGTTAATGAACTGGCTTCTACGTGTCTGAACTGTTGATTGAATCCAGGAGAGAACAATGCAACACCATTGGAAGAGGCAGGTGCTGAATTGCATCCAACTGAATAATTCTGTATACTTAAAGGAACTGTGTATTAGGCAGGATTTTATATTTCCACTGTGTGTTTTCTTTCATTCCTGTTCTGCATTTGTTCATTTGTTGCTTTCCATGTTTGGTTTCCATCCCTGTCAACAGATTGCTATAACAACACTTCCTTCGATTGAACAATGATTGGTTGAATTACTTTCACCCCTTACTCTACAGGTGCAAATTTCTCAAAGAAAAAAACTACTAGTTAATTTAATTTTCACACAAAAAAATAATCAGTGCATTTGTTGCCCAAGGAAGATGCTGATACTAAGTTTTATGGATGTGGTAAGGATGGAGGACAAATTTTGTTCACATTTTAGTATAACCTAATTTTCACTTTTCAAAATCTGAAATGCAACTATCTTCTGAAATTCACACTGCTCTGAATTATATGATGCAGTTCTCCAACCAGAAAATATATACAAACATGCATATATCAGGGGACAGTTTACCTAAAAATGCATGCATTAAAATAGTGCATCTTTATGTGATCTTTACCTAGAAAAAGTGCAAAAAAAGTATATCTAAGCAAGATTACATACAAAAATGTGTGCATTATGAAATTGACATACTAAAATACTCACAAAATTTTCATGGTGGCTTTTCTGTAATAAAGAATGCAACTTATACGGAACTGTGGTGAATGAAACTTAAGATAAGAAACAGAGAGAAACCAAAAATGACAGATTTATTCACCCTTTGTAAGAGCTGCTCCAAATTAACTTTACAATCACTACAGTAACGGAGGATAGCAAACACAATGTTCCTGATTCTGGTGAGCTGGTCCCAGGGGCAGAGGAAGGGGTGTGTGGTGGGGACGGGCCACCCCAGGTGTCACCACTGAGGGGGTGACAAAATGCAGGGTGGCACTCACCGCGGGGCCTGCAGCACGCCCGCAGGTCTGCGCTGCCCCAAATAGTCCGCCCACCTCCTCCCCCTCAGCTGTAGGGCGGCTGAGTGGGAGGAGGCAGGCAAACTCTTCGGAGGCCCCGTGGAGCGTCCTGCCCCAGCTCGCCCCGCCCCACAGGTGGCTGGACCCGCCCCTGGGCAGGCACTCGATCAGCTTGCTCTGCCGCTGGCTGGTCCTACCCATCTCTGTCAAAGCATCACAGCCATGACTACAAAGGCCAAGACAAACCAAGAAGCAGATTATTTTGGTCAGTCAGGGAATAAGCCCACACTGACACCGCTTTATTTGGATCACCCATTACAGAACGCGCAATCATGTCAAAGAAAATGTCAGAAATAAGTGAGAATCAAAAGATAAATAGGAAGCAACAGGTCATAACAGGGTTTGAGTCCAGGAGTTTAAACGCTCTTTCACAAGTGTCTAGTAGAAGAAATAATGATATCTCTGATGCATCTTAACTGGGGCCTCAGGGAGAAAACATGCCAAGTACCACAATTGCAATGAAAGATGCAGTGCCTGCGTCACTGGGAGACGTCTATATTTTATTGTGATTCCACTAAAATATAATGCATGGTGATATCCAAGAATCATTATGTAACCTAGTGATAAGTTGGTAAGGTAAGATATTTTGACAAGGCCACAGACATTTCCCTTTGATCATGAATAGGTCTCCCCCCCTCCCCCCCGCAAATCTCAGGCTTGATTACAATGGGGCTTTTATAGGGTAGCCCTGCATTTGCCCTTCCCACTCTTGTCAAGTAATATTCTTGGTTTGGAATCTGCTATATCTATCAACATCCTTAGATTTCTGCATTTGATTTTAAAGTGAACAAGCAGGTACAGATAGCAGGTGCACATTAATTTGTTTGAATGAAATTTGCATAAGATAACCAATGGCTTAAGTGAATTGGAGTTTTCTTCCTGGTAAATTGTGCTTGGCATTATGGCCTGTGAGCTATTTTTAATTAATATCAATATGTTGCTTTACTTTTTATGTGCCTCACTCATCCAATGAAAAGTGCCTCACTCATCCAATGATTTGATATTCGAGTTGAAAGCCAAAGTTCATTGCGTGCCAATTTCCAAACCGTTTTGATGAATGCGGTAGTGTAATTAATACATGTTTGGGGAATGCCTTGATTACATTCCCTGGAAGCCTCTAACAAAATACAAAGCTTCAGTTCTTTTGGTGAGCATATGTCACCTGACAGTAGCCTCATGTGCGTCATCATATACCCAATTATGTTTTCTAATTAACATTATTGGAAACAGAATTAATTGTAATGGAAGTGAGAACGGCACATAGGTGGAATCCGCCCCTTGACAACAAGGAATAATTGTGATTAATTAACAATGCATCAAAACTCTCAAAGAACAGTTTTTAAAAGGTCTTGTAAGTTCACAATATTTGCTGCACTCATTAATCTCTTCTGAGTACCTTTAATCAGGGGACTCCTTCAAAATTAAATAAATAGCATGCCAGCTCTCCTCATATGAATTATAATATGCAGATTTGTTTTTTTAAAGCATTAGAAGATTTTTCATGCACCCCAGTCACTATTTCCAGATAAATACAACATTTTAAGCTCAGTTTCACCCACGAACATTATTGTAATGGAGAGTTTAAAATTCATTAGGGACTCAAGGGAGAAGCTGCTGTGGATGATTAAATGGTGCTCCTAGAATTCAAAATGAGGTCTGAAAAGTCAAGAGGTCATATGACAGCCAGTTCCGAAGGCCAGGACTGTATCAGAAATCAAGTAACATTTAGAGCTGTTTATGTGCATGAAGCAGAGGTTATAAATGCACTTCCAAACCAAAGTTAAAAGTGAACATTTTTGAACTGCTTCCTCAGTGTACTAGTCAGACACCCAGTATCATGTAATGCTAAAGCAAGCCAAGGCTCCTGACCAATTCAGGGGTGAACTATTCCATTTTTAGGAGACTCTCATGGACAGGATTAACTTTTGGCCCATTATTTATGGTTTTGTGATTGGCTTTTCCTTTACCCAGAGGCACTCAGTGGGACTGAGAATAGATGTTGCGCAGCTCATTTTGCTGCTGAGCTCATTTTGTGTGCCTTAGGCTGCTAGCAGGCCTAATCTTTTAAAGGGAAAGAAGGCTTGCAGCTGTGGATTGATTTTTGCTGCTGTTTTAACTGTTTTTCCTGTAGTGTACTCACTAGTTTGACAAATAAACGTGGTCTTCTAGGTTTATGCCAATTTGTGTGAAATAGTGTTTATTGGATGCCTCCTTCTTGGCCCTTTGAAATGCTGGATGGCAGATTATCACTAAAAATATAAAAAATTCAGAGCACTTAATTAAATGCGGTGTGGGTGTGGCGGACTGTTCTGGACTAATTAAATAGGCAAAAGTGGATGAAAAGCTAAATAATGCTCACATGTGGACCAACCCTAGTCTGGAATGTGACTTATAGAGCTGAAGAAGACATCTGCATTTACTACTAGTTTTGAAACGCCTTAACAATAAGTGTTTACTTTCACCATGAAATAGAATTTGCCTCAGGCTGGTTTTATGCAAGCTGCGGAAAAGTTAATGGGCAAACTACACCATTTCTGATTCCAAGGGGTGGGAAACCATTTCCAAACGCTCCCCCCCCCCCATGTCACCCTTTCAAGGATAGCCTTGAAGATTTGCTCTAAGCCAGGGGTCAGCAACCTTTTTCAGCCGTAGGCCGGTCCACCATCCCTCAGACCATGTGGTGGGCTGGACTATATTTTATTTGGGGGGGGGGGGAATATGAACGAATTCCTATGCCCCACAAATAACCCAGAGATGCATTTTAAGTAAAAGCACACATTCTACTCATGTAAAAACACGCTGATTCCCAGACTGTCCACAGGCTGGACTGAGAAGACGATTGGGCCCACGGGCCTGATCTAAGCCAACCCTCTCTTTGCTCTGCTAGTTTCCCATACTGCTGGGACCGTTTGAAAATATGATTCCCCTGCCTGAAACCTGATGTAATACGTTCTGCTCTCGCTCCTCACCCCCCACAGACCATACACAGCGGAGGCCTGAGGGTCCTTGAAAAAGAGCTTGCCTCCTCAGAGTGCCAGCAGAATTGATCAGCAGAAGTAAGGAGGGTTGGGGAAAGCTGCCTGCATGCACCTTTGATAGTTGGGCAGAAGAGGGGAATTTCAGCAGGCTGCACAAGCTGAAGCTCCTTTCTTCATCTCCTCTGGCCGCCCTATGACTTGCTCAGGCCCATAGCTGCTTCTCTTGATCGTCTCCTGGGTCTCCCTAGGCCCTTATCTTTGTCTCTACGCACGTCCAGCCCCCCTGCATCTTGTTGCATTCAGGGCCAGTGCATTCAGGGCACATTCCTGCCTCTCCCTTTCGCCCCTAGTTTGTTTTTATTTATTTTATTTGTATACCACCCTGTCACCACATAAAAATACAAAATGAGAACATGAAATACAGAATAAAACAAAACCTTCCCCCCTCCCTTCCGACAAACACATTTTAAAGGCCACAGAATGTTAATCAGCCAAAAGCCCTTGTTATAGAGAAATGGTTTCATCTGGTGCCTAACTTTTAGGAGAAATAAAACTGGCTTGCCTCAGGGCTGTAATGAATTCTCTTCATAAATTATTTGGATTAGCAGCACCTGTGTGGAGTCTGTCTGAATGCTGTGCTCATGGGTCACCAGGTAACACACCTCACCATCTTTCTTCCCCCCTCTTTTTTAAAAAAGTCAAGGTCTTCTCTATATCTCAGTCCCTTTAATCCCTTTCCCTTCTTTTTTAATTAATTTTCATCCTTAAACTGTTTAACATGGTTGCATTGAGATATATCTTTGTTTACATTAGAGTGTACGACAGGCAACAATTACATAATATTAAAATGAAACATAAAACAAAAATAAACACTAAGGTAAGTGTTTCTGAATATATTAAAGTTGTGTCAGAGTGTATATCAAAATGATTACAGTTATTACAGGTATTCAATGATGTATAGTAATATGTAGTACTTTGATTGGTGACCATTAAAGTGACCAAGTAAAAGATGTTTTGTATCAATAACAATTAGAATTTAGGGGGGAGGGGGAGGGAATATTTAAATAAAATATGTATACAAGCCAGACTATGCTATAAACCATGGACCCTGTTCTATCACATGTCTCATTGTTTGTGTTATCAATGAAGTCTCACCAGACATAAAAATTGTTGTGTTTCTTTTAGCTTCTTGCTACTTTTAATCTTTTTGTCAGTTTTTCTAATAATGCAGTTTGCCGAATTGCATTATGCCATTGGTCCATAGTTAATAATTGTAATGATTTCCATAGTTGTTCTTGCAGCGGTTAATAGATGTGTTATGAGTTCTTTGTTTCTAATTTGTAACACATTGTGACTATACAAGTAAAGTAGGGCCAGTCATGAGGACAGAGCCTTGTAATGAAAACTATTTCTGTAAATGCATTCTTTCAGAACTTTTCTATTTTTGGACACCCTCACCACATGTGCTGATATGTTCCTGTAGTAGGACATCCTCTCTAACACATGGGAAAGCTGTTCAGTTTGATACAGGCTAGGCATCTAGGTGTTAAGTAGCAGCCATGCACAATTTGTCGGTCATTTTGTTCCAGCACCGTATGTCCATATTTATCCATACTTTGCTATAATTTGTCTGATTTGTTTAAGTTGTGAGTGACCTGAATGCCTAATTATCTGAAGCTTTTTCTAACTATTGGGATTTGTAATATTTTGGAGAAGTTTTCCTGAAGTTGTGGGGAAGTATGAAAAAACATGACTCCTAGTTTTTGAAAGTTTACCTTAAGTCCGGAAACATTTTAAAATGTCTCCAGTTCTGTACTCAATAACCTTCCAGCATTGACAGGGTCTGATGTACATAAAACAACATTGTCATCATAAAATCCCAGAATATATTCCCTTCTGTTGATAAGTACACCCTTTCCTGCCAGAATTTGGCATAATCTCATTGCCAGGTGTTCTATGCTTAGAGCAAATAATAACCTTGTTTTGTTCCACAGCTGTTGACATTTTTATGAATCTATATTATTTATCCTAATTGTAGCCAACGTAATATCATAAATATTTTCCAATATTCTGACAAATTTAGGGCCACCCCCAAAAAAATCATATGATTTTTGTTTTAAGTACAACTATAATTGTTTTCTCTATTTCTATTACCTCCAATTCTTTCTGTTTTATCTACAATTTTTAAAAAGCATTTCTTGATCCTGTAACTGTGTGTGTTTGTTCCAGAAGGGAAATTTCCTGTTCCAGTTGTGATATTTGTGTCCTACGTGATCTGCTTAAATGTGATTTTTCCGGTATACATGTCCGTTTCATCACTGCCTTCATTGTTTCTCACAATAGACCCAAGTTTATTCCTTCCGTATTATTTTCTTTACTTTTACCCCCTAATGTTTTAGACAGTCTTTCTCTTAATAATTGGTTTGTTATGAAATTGGGCAGAAATACCATATGGGCGTAGTGTGTTCAACTGGAGTGAATTCAAATTTCATGGAGACTGGGGCATGTTCTGTTATTTTTATCACTTCTATTTGTCTTCTTTTCACTGCATTTAATAGTGGGGTTGGCTTGTAATAGAAAGTCTATTCTGGATTGCAAACTGAACATTGGGGACACAGACGTATCAGTCGTGTCTCTCGAATTCATCTCCCCAGATGTCCCGCAGTCCCCACTCTCATGGGAACTTCACCAGTTTCAGTTGGTCTCTGTCTTTCTTAAGTTCTATTGCACTCCGACATTTCCTTTCCCATGTGGAACCTACCAGATCTTTAAGGTAAAGGTAAAGGGACCCCTGACCATTAGGTCCAGTCGTGACCGACTCTGGGGTTGCGGCGCTCATCTCGCTTTATTGGCCGAGGGAGCCGGCGTACAACTTCCGGGTCATGCAGCCAGCATGACCAAGCCGCTTCTGGCGAACCAGAGCAACACACGGAAAGATTGTTTACCTTCCCGCCGGAGCGGTACCTATTTATCTACTTGCACTTTGATGTGCTTTTGAACTGCTAGGTTGGCAGGAGCAGGGACCGAGCAACAGGAGCTCACCCCGTCGCAGGGATTCGAACCGCCGACCTTCTGATCAGCAAACCCTAGGCTCTGTGGTTTAACCCACAGCGCCAGATCTTTACATGTTAATAATTTTATGTTCCAGTTAAGATCATCACCAATTAATAAATCATTTGAGGAGCAGTTTTTCAGTTTGGCTAGAGTTTTTTGCAGAAAGGATAGTTGGCCAGTATTTGGTGCATAAATAGATGCCAGTGTGACATTATGGATTCCATTAATAATACCATCAACAAAAATAAACTTTCCATTTACATCTCTCAGTACTTTTGGAGACTGAAAATTAAGTCGTGAATGTATTAATAGGGCCACCCCTCAACCTTTAGTGGAGCCACTTGCTGTGTACTTTTGGCCCACCAATGACAATGTAACCAGTGTATTTTTTATCTGCTTTATGTCTTTCTTTCAAAATGGCTATATGTGGATCTGTTATGAACGAATGAGTTGCCATTCTGGCCTGTTTTATTGGAACTCCCAATCCCATCAGATTTAAAGTAATTACATTAATCCCTGTACAATGGTACCTTGGGTTACATACACTTCAGGTTACATACACTTCAGGTTACAGACTCAGCTAACCCAGAAATATTACCTCGGGTTAAGAATTTTGCTTCAGGATGAGAACAGAAATTGTGCAGTGGCGGCGCAGCATCACTGGGAGGCCCCATTAGCTAATGTGGTGCTTCAGGTTAAGAACAGTTTCAGGTTAAGAACGGACCTCCGGAATGAATTAAGTATGTAACCAGAGGTACCACTGTATTTATTTTGGCAAAGAATAAATAGTGTCCTTTGCCAGTCTAAGCTTTCCACATTTTTGCTCTGATTCTGGAGTTCAGTTATTTCTATAATAAATCTACTTATATAAACTTGGGGGGGGGGGGAACACACCTACATTTGAATTATTAACCTGAAACCTTTAAAACATACAGTAGACGGCACTCCAGTCGTTGGCATTCGTCTGTCTCAAGAGACAATGGAGTGTGCCTCTGGAGGTGAAGCCAAACTGCTAGAGAATCATAGCACCTGCTGTGGCTGTAGAGATTGGTAGCTCATAACTGCTGCCTCCTGTGTTGTTGTTTTTGCTGTGTTTTGAAGGGCACACCTGGGCAGTGTGTATGGAGGTCCTGGGCTGCCCAGAAAACAAGACTCCCCTCTCAGCCTCGCTGATGTGTTTCAAAAGAAAGCAAAGCAATACATTTGGCACCATCTTGGCTTCAGGAGTTGCTGGAAGGAGGCATACAAGACTCCATCCAACCAGTTTAGGAACTCCACTCTGGATTGTGTAGGGTCTACTCCTTAGCTTTTTCTTCTCCCTTAGGGGAGTGGGTATTGGGCACTCCAGTACCACTAACTATAAGCATAAAAATCAAATTTATTTTAAACAAGTAAATGATGAGGTGCATTGAAGTGGGCATTTTATTTTAAACTTCATGTCCTTAAAGGTACCTTTAAGATGTTAATATTTGCAGATCATTGCAGTCTGATTACTTTTGCTTCTCTAGAAAATGAATCTTTTTTCTCTTTTAAACAGCATTCTAGCCTTGCAACAGTTCTGCCTTATTTTCAGTTTATTTAGCTCCTGTTTATTTTCTGGGCATAGTAACCTTTCTGAAATACGTACAATGCTGTCTCTTCCTAGTCCCATTCTTCTCCTTTATGGTCTTTGGGCTTTGCTGTAACTTTCCCATTTGGGCTCTTAAGCTGAGTCATCTTCACCAATAGGTTCACTATTTTGCTGCTAAAAAATCAATAACCTCACATGCACAGCCCCGTTCTTCTCCCCCACCCCATATTAAGCTTGCCTGGAAGACTTTCTGGATTAACTAGTTTCTTGACTGGATGTGGATAATTTCAGTGGTCAGGGCGGGAAAGGCACCTCACTGGTGTTCAGTGGGGCTCCCTTTCTTGTTACTTCATGTTTCATAACATCATAGAATAATGTTAGGAATCCAAAGGGTCATCTAACCCCCCACAATGCAGTTTCTTCATACTCTAGAGCTGATCATTTTGATAGCATCCCAACAGTAGTGCTTGTGTACTTGGTGTGGGAGGATTGGATACTGTCATTATGTTTTTTTCTACTCTTCCAATTCATATCCCCCAAATCTTTCCAGGTCCTGCCAAATCTCCCACACGGTAATCTCTAGAAATATTTATACTCTGTCCGGATATTGCAAAGAGGGAGAGATACAAGGCCTATAAAGTTGTGTATCTCTTCATGTTGAAAATATAATCTTAATTTTCTTTTTATAATTTATCGGTATAACTTAAACAGAATACTGTACTTGACCATGCTCATATTAGTTAGTAAGTGTTAGTTTAAATGGATTTTAGAAGTCTGACAAAATTTGAGGGGAATGAAGTGATACTGTATGTAGAGGATTGCCAGACCTGGAATAGAACAGGACTGCTGTCCCTTTCATAATGGAAATTCCTCATACTGCCCACTACAGCAATATGATGAGCCAAAACTCTTCATCATACCTTTGAATATTGAAGGACCCTTCCACATATTAATCCAGGCGATAAGAGATATGTCATCTTCCACTCAGCCTCTGTTCTCCATTTAGAAATAGGAATGATAATAATAATGGTAATGTTGTTCTATTTTTCAGGGGTGCTTTGAGGCCAAACATAATCAGAATCCAATGTTTTCAAAAACTCATATTTGAGTCTTGTGCTTGTCCGACTGCTACATATGAGCTGTAGCAAAAAGAAATTAGTTGCTTCTGTTTATCCCCTGGTGTGTTTTGTTTTAATAAGGAGCCAATTGGTGACTAATGATTCGGAAGTAATCTGATGTGGTTCTGTGCAGTGCACATTTATGAATCTGTGAGTTGCTGTGGCAAAGTGTCTGAGTGGAACATTGAGCACCTTCACTTTCACTGTGTATTGTACATAGTCCCAGGTTCATTCTCTGCCATCTCAGGTGACTAGGCTAGCCTAGCTCCTTACCTGATATCTCAGGGAAAGAGATGTCTGTTATGATAAACAGCACCAGGCTAGAAAGACTACTGGCTAGAATCTGTCTAATGAGATATTATATGTACATTGAATGATATGCCCCAAAGTATAACTGAAAGGAAATGTGTTATCTGCATCTTACAAGTAAATATATTAATGTATACTGTCCATACTTGAATATGGGGCCAGAAACACACACTCCCTCTATTTTCTAGTCACCATGGTAACTCTTAATGATTTCAGATGGAGCAGTTGTGCTTGTTTATGCACTCTGCCACAAAGACATAGAAGCAATCAAAACATGGCAGCTAGGGAATGAGGGGCCATGGGAGTTGCAAGCATTTGTCTGGCAGCTGTAGATGAGGAAGAACAGGGCAACAGGAGGTATGGTGTGAAGATCTATGTCAGCCAGGGCAGTTTTGTGTAGATTATCTACTTGGAGGCATGCAACTGTGATGGAGGAGAGACTCCCAGCTCCTTTAATCCAATCCTGCTCACAGATGCTTTGTCTAACCTCTATAGATAGGTTAGAAAATTGACAGCAGACTTAGAACATAATCCTTTATTGGTAGCAGCACATACCTGGTTTGGCACAGCATAAGATCTGCCCATCAGGATGCCCACCTACTTGCCTCTGTCACCACCCATCCCATCTACTGAGATAACTGGAGGAGTTGGCAAGCAGGGAGGTCCACCATGGCACAGGTCAGACATGTGGGCCCACAAGCAGCCTGGGAGTGGTTGTTGGCTTGGGTTCCCTGTCTGGGACAGAAGCTTTTGGTGTCACCCCAAGATCCTTTATGTGGACCCCCTCATAAGTTATGGACCCTGTCCAATGCCTTCACCTACCAAACTGAAAAGTTGTGCAGATTGATGTAGCTGTGAAATACACATAAAAGCCTTGATATGGAAGAAAACAAAAAACATCATGGCCAGCTGACCAATGTAGCCTGTGTATAAAATTCCTTCCCTGTTCCATTAACCATCAGCTGACATCCACAGCAGGCATGACTGCAATTAAGGGAGGCAGAGAAGATAAGACCCTGATGGTGAGTGCAGAGACTGAATGTGGGGAAGTCTTTTCCACAGGCCCCACCCACAGGAACTATTTTGGGCTACCCGTTGTCTTCTAGGCTCCAAACACAGCCTGAGGTATGGTGCAAAAGCTTGCCCAAGTGGCTCCCTCCTGCCTCCGCTTCACCATTACACAAAAGTTTCACCAGTACACAAAAGGTACACAAAAGTCGTCTTTTACAGAGCAGGATCTCAGTGAAACAGTAGCTAGATGATTTGGGCATCTTTTGAAGACAGCGTCTCTCAGATGAGTAACCCCACAGATGTAAGTATGGGTACTTTGTTCTTTGTGAGACTTGGAAATCAAATAGACAAGTGTCTACTGTATAAATGGAGACTCTGAATTGTGACATATGTAATAGTCCAATCTTTACATTGGATTACCAATGATCCATGACCATTATTGTGTAATAGTACTGAATAGGAAGCAACTAGACTTTCTTTGTAATGTGAAGCCAATAGCAGATATATGCCTATTGATATGAGGCACATATTGTATTCTATTTCCATTAATAACTTTCACTATTTCTTACATTGTTCACGGTTCCCACTGACTTTGTGTGTGGTTTTGTGTATCAATATGGTGCCCCACAGAAGGCTTAGTGAATAAAGGCACACACTCCTCCACTGACTCCTAAGACAAACGGATGCCAACATGTGAGATATAGGGGGAACTTGGAAATGCCTTGAATGCAAACCAGCTACGTCTGAATCGGTTTCACTTTACTTGAGTTGGATTTCTTGGTTGTTGGACTGCAACAGAAACCTCTGAGCCATGGATTAGGCAGTAAATGTCAGAGTGCCTATAGACATGCAAGAATTCATTTTTATGGATGTGCACCTCTATGGATGCTAAAAGCTGCTGGTAAAAAAATTAAATGACTGGAAAATGACATCCTAAATGTCAACATACAAAAAGAATTTAGCACAACACTAACAAATGCCAAAGGAAGAATGAATTCTTCTTTGGAAGATAACATCATCAAAACAGCGGAAGAAGGGACCTATTCTGACCATAATTCAATACAAAGTGTATAATGGGAAGTTTTGAAGTATCTTCAGTTGTGCTAAAGGAAGCTTTCTGCTAATTAAGTTTATGGGGTCAGAACATCTTAAAACTGTTGTGGAAAATATATTTAAAATCCCACTTAGCAGTTCTATCGAAAGTGGTCCAGAAATTCAGAAGCCATTATCCAAGGAGCGGCTAAAACAATACATGTTCACCCTTCCAATGGCTCCATCTGACATCAGGTTTTGTAGACATATTTGCATATAAGATGCTATTTTCTATTTCCTATCTATGGTACTAATACTGGAGAGAACCCCCCCCCCCCAAAAAAGGTGCATACAATAAAGTCATTATTGTGGTGTGCACAATTGTCACAAAATCTCCGTAAATAGTCTTTTACAGCACTTTCATCATGTGAGACCAAAGAAATTAGTGTATCAGCTCTTACAGTCTTCTCTTATTCCAGCCTTAATCTTTTGATCCAAATGCTTCGCTGAAAAAGTATTTATATCTTTATGCATATCATTGTGCCATATTCGCACTTGCATGCCCTTTAATGGGTCTGCCCACCTCCTCCAGCTTTGCATCCAGTTGGCAACAAGCCAACAGGGCAAAATTCTGCATTCCTGGGAGCTGGGAAAAGGTAGAAGAACTGATACCATGTAGGAACATAGGAAGCTGCCTTCTACTGAGTCAGACCATTGGTCCATCTAGCTCAGTATTGTCTATACCAGCTGGCAGCGGCTCTCTAGGCTTCAGGCAGGCAACTCCCCCAACTCTATCTGGAGATGCTATCTGGATTGAACTTGAGATCTTATGCCTGCAAGGCAGGTGCTCTACCACTGAGCTATGGCACTTCTCCTAAAAACCACTGGATGCGGGTGGTGCTGTGGTCTAAACCACTGAGCCTCTTGAGCTTGCTGATCAGAAGGTTGGCGGTTCAAATCCGCACAATGGGGTGAGCTCCCATTGCTCTGTCCCAGCTCCTGCCAAACCAGCAGTTTGAAAGCTTATGAGTACAAGCAAGATAATTAGGTGCCACTGTGGCGGGAAAGTGAATGGTGTTTCCGTACGCTCTGGTTTCTATCACGGTGTCCTGTTGCACCAGAAGCGGTTTAGTCATGCTGGTGACATGACCCAGAAAGCTGTCTGTGGACAAACGCCAGCTTCCTTGGCCTGAAAGTGAGATGAGTGCTGCAACCCCATAGTTGCCTTTGACTGGACTTAATTGTCCAGGGGTCCTTTACCTTTACCTAAAAACCACTAGCACATTTTTCTCAGTCAGCAAGGATATTATTCCTCATAGGGGGTGATGGACTGTGTGTTAAATAAGTACAGTTGTCAGTTGGCAATGGCATGTGTTGGCTTTTGAGACCAGCCAGGTTTTCTTTATGCTGTTTAGCCATGCAATGAGTTCTGTATGCCTGCAAAACTTTGGAACTGTGATTTCTGAACAGCGGCTTCCTTAGCCATATGACAATTTTTCAAAGTAGTTGGTGCCATGACACGTAGGCTTTCTGTGCAAAGGAAAGACACACATACACACACACACCGTTCTAAGATGAACTGGCCCTTTGGGTCCTGACACATGAATTTCACATAATGTGGTAGTGCTAAAATTACTGGGGGCCAGCAAAGTCTTGGATCCTTTCCCTTTGGGATGGTTATCTGTTGTTCTTAGAAAGCTACCGGTGAATGAATTAGGTAAAATTGGGTGGCATTGAAAAGTACAACTTGTGGAGTCAATTAAGGGCCCTTTCCTTTTCTAATCTGTGATGGAAGCATTGCTCTGTGAAAGATCACTGATTGGATATGGAGAACTTGTGTGGTGGCAGTCAGTATAGTTACTGAATATCTGAAGATGTGTGCATGCACACGAAAGTTCATACCAATAACAAACTGAGTTGGTCTCTAAGATGCTACTGGAAGGATTTTTTTTATTTTTTTTCGACTACGGCAGACCAACATGGCTATCTACCTGTAACTGAATATTTGTATGTTTTGACTGATGTTATTTTTCTGCATATATGTGAGCTTTAGGCTTCTGGGGGAATTGTATTTCTTAATTCATATACTCAGTGCTTTTTTCTTTAAAGAAATGTTTAGGACTACTCTCATTTTCCCACTCATATTGAAATACTGTCCCTCAATGAGGCCAAATTTAGATTCACAGTGTTTAGGGGTATGTGTACCCCTATGTACCCCCAGAAATAAGCACTGCACGTAGTAAAGCTTAATAAAGCATGACATTAATATTATGTAATACACCTCAGCCTTAAGATGGTGGTATGTCTGAATATGTGCATGTGTAGGCAGGGGGTTGGAAGAGCCAGTAGGTTTGGAGGATGAACTTGGGAGAAAAAAGTTTGACACTCATATCTAAAAGGGAGATCCTCAAAGGGCAAGGTTGACTTTCCTTCACTGACCTGGTGACTTAACTAAAGCAATAGCTCCACCTGCTGATAGATATAGAGGTAACCACAATGCAGCTTCACATACTGTATGTACTTCAGCGCTAGGCAATAGCTAGAATCAATTTGAACAATGTTTGTAGACCAGTCTTCTGAAAGTGAGCAGTGCTAAAAGAAACATGCTTAAAACATTGGAATGCAGCAAGCTAATGAATGAGAAGGAGTAGGTTTTACCCCTTCTGCGTACTCATGCATACTTCTTTTCATGCAAACTTTCCCCCTTTGTTTACAGGGCAGCCATGTGGCCCAAATATTAATTTGAAGAATTGTGTTACTAAAATACACATGGATTTCCCATCATGCCTAGTTTGCCTCTTAGCCTGAAAGCAGCAAGTTGGTTAGAGATACAGGTATTCCTCAAGAATAATTGCATACCTAAAGCACAGTGTGCCCTACCTAAATGTTGCCCCTGATAGTACATCTGTTTAAGATTTCAGAAGAAATTATATTTTAGTGAGACTGTGATGTGATTGTATAAAGTACCTGATAAAAAAACATCATTGGTTCTTGCAGGCATTGTGGAAACAGAAAAAAGAGGAGCTAAAATAAAACTTTATTTGGAGGTGGTGTTAGAACTGGGTTTGCTTTGTGCATTGGAGGGGAATGGCAATTCAAGACAGATGATCTAGGGTGAAATCCTATGGTTCCTTGAAGAGCATTCCAAGGGCCATACAGTAGGATCTACCCTTCATTCTCCAATGTCATATAGGGTGCTCTCACGTCAGACCTTCCCTTTCTAATGTCAACAGCGTCTCCAAAGCTCTGGCCCATCAAATAAACAAACTTCAAAGTTGGTAAGGCCCCAAATGGGGCATTCTGGGGAGCAGCTTTGATCTGAATGGTCAAAGGCCCTCCCAGTCACCTGACATGCTCCCATACTGAAGGGGGAATTGGACAAACTTACGAGAATGCTTAAAGCTTTCTCTCCCATTGTTTCCAATGAGAGAGAAAACAGGCAAACAAATAAAATATGCTAAGGCCTTGAAATGGACAGAGAACCACAGAACATTCCACTGCCAGTTTATACCATGTCAGCTTGAGCTTGGCACTGTAGCCTTTTTTGTTTTGCTCAACAGTTCAAGTTTTACGCATTTAAAAGTGCTCTCTTTTGAAAGAACTAAAAGGGGGGGGGTTGAGTCAGTTTTTAAACTTACTACACAGAAACCCATTCCTTCAGCACAGCTTTGGGTGAAGCAGTAGTACTGCCTTTAGATTTCACTTACCTTACCCCACACCCTAGGATTGCAGCCTTAAAGAAATTCAGATTTAATGAAATTCATTTAAGAGGAATTTAAGACTTTAAACTGAAGAGTCAATCTTCACTCGTAAATTTGGAAAGATAGTGTTTATAAGCCATTTCACCCAGCATTGGTATGGTTTTACGTGTTCATGCTGCTTTCGATTAATTGGACATGTAAATAGTTTACGGTTTCTTTTTCTTGCTTTTGAAGCTATTTTGTCATTGTTTCTTTCTGCAGTGTAAAACAAAATAGCAGCTTTACAAAATGTAACTGTTCACCTGAAGAACTGAAAGCGAATGAGATCCCATGATTGGCAGGGTCATTATCAGCATATTTAGTCTGGTGGTCACAATTCCAACCTTTGAGAAATTTGCATCCTTGGTGGGATTTGAGGCAAGGACCCTTGACCTTGAAAGGATTAACATACCCTTTGATCTACAAGAACATTTGGAATGTGATCCGTAATACTTGAGCCGAGGGCTTATTTTCAGATGGTGCACCTCAGAGGGGCAAGCTCATCTGAACTGTTTCCTGCTTATGGACGCATTTGGTTTGCACTGTGCAGTTTCTGTATTTTAAGCCTTTTCAGTTCTGCTTTGCATGGAGCACAGTCAGTCACATCTCAGCCCTTCAGAGAATGGAGATACAGCACTTCAACAACTGAGTTGCAGGTCAAACTTATTTCTACTACTTCTTTGTTAGAATTCAAAGGATTAATGCAAAGTACTCATGTTGGAAATGTGGAAAAGAACTACGAGAGTTTTATCTTATGTAGTGGAAGTGTAAAGTAGCAAAAAGAAGTTGAGCAAAAATCAGAGCTTAAATAATTAAAATCTTAAGGTATGAAGTTTCCTGGGTTCAGTTGTGTTCTTGTTAAACCATGTAAATGAGTCCGTAAGACTGCAGCATGAAGAACTAAGCTCATATATGGCAACTACTGCTAGAATTATGCCAAGAAGCGAAGGCCACACCATCTGTATCTGATTTGTATGAAAAAGGTTGGGAATATGCTGTTATGGTAAAATGAAAATGGCCCATCCAGCATCATGTTCTCACCATAGTCAACCAGATGCCTATGGGAAACCTAAAAGCAGGACCCCTGAGCACAGCAGCATTCTCCACATTTGTGATTTCCAGCACCTTTAGGAGGCAGAGACTCCAATTACAAGGAGCAGGACTTGACTAGGTTATCTTAAAGGTTGGCAATGGCAGGTTGGCCATCTTTTCTAGGTTTCCCTTGTAGGGACTGCTGCCCCTGATTTGCACTGCTAGAGAAGGCTATTCTTTTGCGGGTATCCTAACCTAGGCTAGAAAGAACACTGCAAATCAGATTAAATTGTCTGTGCTAAGGTTTGCCCTCTACTACTGGCTCTGATCCAGTGGTTTTAAATTCTTATGGATTAAGGCTATTGGGTTTCTTATTTCATAAGATTCCCTCTTCAGAAGATGAGGTTCAGAGTGCTGGGAATACTTCTCCTGCTTCTCCTTAGCAGATTGTAAGTTGCTGCACCAACTCTGTGGTTTTTCTAAGTGTGAGGATGGCTGATAATAGGCAGCCTGGAAATAGCTTATTCAGATTTCTTTCTTCTTATTCTAGGTATTCTCATATGTGTCCCAGCGGGCATAGGAAAGCATTGGCTCTCCCTCTCTAAGGGTGCACTAACTTCAGAGAGAGATATATCTCTGTTTCAGTTCTCTCTTCCTGCCACCATGGCCTTTGCCCTCTCAACATTATTAGGGTGAAAGGGGTGTGCGTCTGGGGCATTTTGGGAGGGGTGCTCAGGGAGGAAAAAGAGAAGGCATGAATCTGAAGGATCCATAGCCTCTCCAGACTCCAGATGTGCCTCCAGCCCAGGGAATAGTCCATTGATTGTTTCTGGGTTCCTTTTAAGCAACAGTGGAAAGGGATGGAGGAGTGCAAAAGTGTTCCTCTACCCTCACTTCTACACACACCCTCTAAGTCTTAGTTTTAGGATTGCAAATAAAGACACTTGATTCATGGTCTTACCTGTTGCAGTTGCTTTCTAGCTTTTCTGTGTGTATTTCTGATTCACACCAATACATGTTGTAAGCTTAATGTTAACGTAGTGTTTATATACCGGTCATTATGTTGTGATACAAAAGAAAAAACACCTATAGAGATATAAGACACTACTCCCTTTATTTCTACAGAATTTGTGCCATATGTTCTTGGATACTGCACTTAGATATCTGCTCTTCCAAGCATCTTATGATGTCTTAGTATATTTAATTCAGAAAGAGCAGTTGTGCAAACGTGTAGTATAGTGAATGGACATTGCATATCTATTGACATTTTACATCTTCTTTGGCGATCACTCGTAGCCGAGTAAGATTGTCTTCCATAAACATGGTTTTAACAATGAGTCCGTAAGTGACAGTGGGGGCTAATTCTGGATCCACACGTCCTTCCACAGTGGGGACATTGGTTTCCGGGCACGAGTTGATCACGGTGTGGATTTGCCAAGTGTGCCTTCTTCCTAGCACGATTCTCCCTTGCATTCTGAGTTTGAGTGTCTTCAAAGTCCATGACACCTTTGGTAAAGGCTGCTCTCCAACTGGAGCTCTCGCAGGCCAGTGTTTCCCAGTTGTCAGTGTTTATACTACATTTTTTTAGATTTGCCTTGAGACAGTTTTTTAACCTCTTTTGTTGACCACCAGCAAAACGTTTTCCATTTTTAAGTTCAGAATAGAGTAGTTGCTTTGGAAGACGATCATCAGGCATCCACACAATATGACCAGTCCAACAAAGTTGATGTTGAAGAATCATTGCTTCAACACTGGTGATCTTTGTTTCTTCCAGTACACTGATATTAGTTTGCCTGTCTTCCCAAGTGATGTGTAAAATTTTTCAGAGACACCATTGATGGAATCTTTCGAGGAGTTGGAGATGGCGTTTATAAGTGGTCCATGTTTCACAAGCATATAGTAAGGTTGGTAGTATAATAGCTTTGTAAACAAGAATTTTGGTTTCCCTGCGAATGGCCCAGTCCTCAAGCACTCTGCACTTCAATCAGGAGAAAGCCACACTCGCAGAGCTCAGGTGATGCTGGATTTTGGCATCAGTGTTGGCCCTTGTGGAAATATAACTGCCTAGGTAGGAGAAGTTATCGACATTTTCCAACATTACACCAATTGAGTTGGATTTGTGGCGCTGCAGAGGGGATATTTTGTATTTGTTGGTGCAGTACTTTGGTTTTTTGGATGTTGAGTGATAGACCAAGCTTTTCGTAAGCTTCTGCAAAGATATTTAGGATGGTTTTGAGGTCATCCTCTGAGTGTGCACACACTACGTTGTCATCAGCATACTGAAGCTCTATGACAGACATTACGGTAACCTTACTCTTTGCTTTCAGCCTGCTCAGATTGAAGAGCTTTCCATCTTTAGCATGAACGATAACATAGTCTAAGAGGTGCCAGTGGTTTGACCAAGGATGCCTCCATGAAGTTTTTAATTTATTTTTATACACTGGATTGCTTGGCATTCATTTTCACTGCTAATAGTGCATCATCTAGTGCCTGTGTGAAGACTGCAGCTTTGACCTGTATCTTTCTTGCCAATTTGGAAAAGAGGGGTTGAAATGTCTTCTTCATTTGACACTGGCTTCTCCAAATTCACTAAGAGGGGTCAGACTTCTTAGCCTCACCACTCTTTGCAGCTTTTGCCCACAATTCTCTGAGTTTAAGCAAGGTGATGTACATGCAGTTGCATCTATTTATTCTTTGACTACCCCATAGAAATGTGATTTTATTGAACTTGATTTCCATTTGGAGAAATTACTAGCAGTTGGATAAGCAGACTTAAGAAGCATCTGAAACACTTGGCCATACCAATTGAATCCTTGGAAGTTGAACATGGGGATTATTGTGACATCACCAATGTGGCTTCTTTTATTTCAGTCAAACCCTTAGAATGATGAGTAGAGCCTGATGGAGATTGTGCTGAAATTCATCTTGTTGGAGAAAATAGAAGTAGCCTCTGAACACACACTCATATTGTAATAATCAATGAATCTTTCAAATGTTAAGAAGATTTCTTGACTATTACTGTCATGTATCTGTGAAGTTTCATCACTACCCAGCTATTTGAAAGCTTTTCATTTAGGCAGGCACAACTGTTTAAATTGTGATTTTATGGATCACAACCTCTTAAGTACAGAATCTAAGTAAGCATATAAAACTGGGAAATCTCTCATTAGCCCACATTTGGCAGGATATTTAGATGTCAAAGATCACGAAGAATCCTGGACAGTAAAAAGCAACTATTAGAAGCATGATTTCCATCTGCTATATGTTGGCCTCAAAGAGAATTCAGATACCGGGTTTCTGGCTTTCATCACGAGTCAATGGCTGTCACTCCTTGCTGCCCATCGTGGGCAACAAGGAGGTTCAGGCAGGGGGAAGCCAGGATTTGTGAGGCAAAAATCATGGCAATGTTCCCCAGTGGGGTCTGGGGAGCTCACTGCATCCCGCTGTGCCACTCAAGCCCGTGTCGCCAACTTGAAAGGCAGAACTAGTGTGACCTGGGAGTGTGTCCCTGCTATGGACGAGCCTCCATCTCTGACATGATTTGTGCTTGGTTTCTTCATAATTTGGAATATTGGCTTTAATCAAGAGGCTCTTCTGGACTGACATATGCCAATGAGCTGCAATCAATCAGCTGCCGAAAGGACTGGGCTTGGTTTTTTGAAGGGAAAGGAAGGGGAAGGACAAGGTACTTTGTGTTTTCAGATGGTGTTTATTTTTGTCTTCCCCTTCAAAATGAAACATAGCCACTGCTATGTTATTCTGTCTGTTACCACAGAAAAGAGGGGGGGAGGCTTTTGATTTATGCTCAACAAGGAACTTAACAAGGTTTTATTATGCCCTCCCCCCTTGGCCGAGGTGGAATGAACTTTATTTAAAATTATCTTTGGATTGGACCAGGAGTGTGATGGAGCAATGCAGAGCAAAAAGAATGAATGGCTGCCAAATAGATCTAGGTCAACACACACCACAATTGCCTCATTATGTAAATCATGTTCAGAATACCACAACACACATGTAACTGGCTGTAAAGTAACATAACATTATACATAATAAAACTGTAATCTAATCGTCATATCAAAAAATTGCAAAGCGCTGTTCCTGATGGCAATAACATATCATATTACTATTAACCTTCTATATGTTTTTATTGTCGTAAAGTCCAAGGATAGTAAAGTCCAAAGATTGTCAAGTCCAACGATTACAACATGCAGTTCCTGTTGGCGATGCTATTTTATACTGATATCTTCTTTCTGCATCATCCTATGTCTTAAAAGTGTAACAAACTAACTTGCCTTCTGCATAGTCCTATGTCTTGAGAGTGTAACAAACAGAACTATTTAGTAGCAATAAGGCAGCTGATGATAGACCAGTTATCAGGATACACCCTTGTTTCGCCCATTGGGCTTCTTCAGCGACAAGATTTCCATGAGATTTTTAAGACATAGGACGATTTCTCCCTAAATGCAGCCTAGCTGAGGCAATCATCTCATGAGGAGGAAAACAAGACCCTATTGGTTATTTTCATGGAGTGAGTGGTACATTTCTCAAATCTCTGATGGTAGTGAATCTGCATCTCTTCCCAGGGGAGTAAGGACTGCTTCAAACATGAAGGTGGGAGGATTGT